GGACATTCACCTGCTCAGAAGCCACCTCAGGGGGTCTTTGTCGGCTCAGATAACACTAAGGCAGAGCAGATGCTCCTTAAACCTCAGTATGATGAGGCCAGACAGCACTGAGTGAGAAGTTAGGCCCTGGGTTCAAGTCCCAGCTTCAAGCAGGTGACAGACTCTCTCCACTTCCTTACGGTTTAGCACCTGCTGCCTGGGGCAGGAGTCTCCAGGACATAGTAAGTGTTCAGTGAACACCAGCTCTTATTATTCCCTGACTTGATCCTGAATTTTCCCATTCTGATCCAAGTTCCCTTCTATGGTTAAGTCTCAGGCTCCTCACTACTCTTTCCGGGAGCCCTTTCCCTCCCATCTGGCTCCTTCTCCCCTCTCTGATGTGAAATACAGCTGTTGAGACCTTTTGATGTTCAGCTTTTAACACATGAAGTCTCTGCTGGGGTTGACTCATTCCTTGAAGCAGTCCCGGAGCTGACCCTGGATCCTGGAACCCTGGGGGGAGGGCTGTAAGCAAGAGCAGGCAGGCATCTGGAAGGCCCCAGCCTTGGGTCCCTGGAATCAAGGAGGAGCTTCTGACCAGGCCCTGATATGCTCTGAATTCTCTTTCCCCTCTCACTGCAGATGTGTGTTCCTGGCATTTTTTCCATGTTGGATCTCACTTTGCTATTTCCTGTCCAGTTCCAACCTCCCCCTCTTCCCTGGGAAAAGTTCCGGACCTTGCTCACCACCAGGGTTTTCCTTTCCAGACAGCAGTGTCTAGCGGGTGCCAAGAATCTCCATGCCCTGTGCTTGGCCTCCAAGGACTTGCTTGTATGGGAAGGGTGAAGGGATGGCAGTGACACAGAGCCAGTCCCTCGGGCCACCTCAGCTGAAAGTCAGGGCCCCTGCACCAGCCCTTGTATCATACTCCCCTTAAGTCAATCAGGGCCTGCCCAGGACCCACCCTCCAGCCAGTGGGTAGTTTGCCCTCTATTTCTCACCAAGGAAGGCGGCAAAAGCCCAATTCTAGGTCTTGGCTTGTGGCTGTCAGAGTGCCCTGGGCATCTTACCAGGGATGAGAACCTGCCAGTGTTTTTCTCCAGCCTTGGAGGTTCTTAAGCCCCACCCTGGATGCAGACAGGTAAACATGGCCACCATTCCGACAGGGATAGACATTTGTCTGGTGGGGAGAAGATAAGGAGCAGGAGGTGCTGCCCATGGAATGTGGGGAGCGGGTGTCAAAAGTCACAGCAGAGAGTAAGGTGTGGACAGTGCAGGCCTCACCTTCATGGCTCCCCTAGAGTGCTCACAAGCAAGTCCTCTTCAGGAAGCAGTGGAACTGATGACAATGACAGTGTTGTCCCTTTATCCAAGTACCGACTGAGCACATGCACCGAGGGTAGGGAAGCATCCGTCCCTGCCTTCCAGGTGCTTCCATTCCAGGCCAGGCACAGACAGTAACCAGACCTAGCCTGGGCACAGAATCGCTCCCGTTCCTCGTTGGGGTGCAGGTTACCCATAGTACAATATGCTACTGGAAGTGCGCAGGCCGGTAGTGAGAACAAGAGCGATGTACCTAGGGTCAGCACCCAAAGGTTTCGTGGCCCAGGAGACTGCTGATCTTTTCATCATCGTGCATGAGACGTTTCCCCCTGGTGTCCAGAAAACAGACTCACGGAGTGCGTGGTCTGAGGCTCATCCACTGTCACCTGTACCTTTTCACTCCAGAGCACTTAGAGGGTGATTTTAAGCTGTGCCTTGGAGGGTGTGCAGGAGTCGGCCCCACAGACAAGTGGAGGAAGGTTGTTCCCACAGCAGAGGAACCAGGGCGGGGGCATGGGAGAAGAACAGGTGCGAGGGGACCAGACTGGTGCTGAGTGAGGGTGGAGGCAGCAGCGGGGTGCCTTACCTCTTCACGTTGCTCTTCCTGGGGCCTAGCTGCCTTGTCTAGCCCCTGGGTTTGTTTTTCACAAGCCAGCCCATTTTCCTTCAGGCCTGGCTGGGCTGCTTGGAGAAGGCTGCGCCAGGCCTGAGGCCCGTGTCCCTGGACATCTGGACATTGCTATGGGCCAGCGAATTCCTGCCCGTTGGTACTTGTGGCCTTGTGTTCCCTTGCATTTGTTTTCCTCTTAAGGTCTCTGGGAAACTCCTTTGGAAACATCTCCATCTTGTCAAGGTGCCCACCCTACACCTGAAAAAGGCGTGTATGGGCAGCAGCCTGCATGCAGGGCCCTGCAGCCCCTCCAAGGACAGGCACCCTGGCAGAGCTTGTGCTGGGCTCAGCATTAGGCTGAGGTCACGTGGAGCTGACGCTACATCTCTGCTGCTCCTTTCAGCTCAACTGCTGGGCTCTGCACTGAGGACCCTGTCACCGTGGCTGAGAGTACCCAGGCTCGTCCTGCAGCCCAGAGGAATGTGTCTTCTGTGGTCTGGAGGTGTGGTGGCCAGACTGAGGCAGGAGGCGGCCAGTGTGGGCTGGGGAGGGGCTGCTGTTGGGGGCCGCAGCTGAGACCACCTTACCTCTGTTGCCACCCTTGTCCCCTCCCTACTGCCACTGGCCACCCCTCCACCTGCGTATGGCCCCTGAGTTTACTGGCTTAGGTCATCTCTTAACTGCCTCATCCCTCTGTCCATTCACTCATCCTGTTCTAGCTGTCCCTTCCCTTTTCCAGAGAAAAGAGTCATCATTACCAAAGTGATTTTTATTTGCTTCTCAGCTTTTTTTTTTTGAAGATTCATTCAGAATTTGCATGTTTGGTGCCTGAGGCCCCCAGGGGCTCATGGGATTTGGGGAAGCTGAGTCAGAAACAGTCAAAATCAGCCTGGGTAGGGCCAGGGATTTAGCTCAGTGGTTCCACCACCTGCCCCAAAAGCGCAAGGTCCCAAGTTCGATCACCGGTACCAAAAAAAACCCAAAAAACCAGCCTGGCTCACTTATCCAAACTAAGGCTCATTTAACCACTAGGTTTTGGGGTGAAACTCTGAGTCCTGTGGCTTGGTGGGAGCTGGACGTGTGACTTTTGGCTCTGTTGTCTCACACAGGTGACCCACGGGCTGAGGGCCTACGATGGCCTGTCCCTGCCCGAGGACACGGAGGCTGTCACAGCAGGTCGGGCTGGCTGGAGCTACTCATACCTTTCAGACGATGAGGACTTGCTGGCTGACGATGCTTCTGGGGGTAAGTTGCGGGGTCCGTGGAGGTGGGGTAGGGTCTGGCTCTTCCTGCTGGTCCCTCAGGAGGCCTGTGAAGTCCCCCCAGGTGGTGCCACACGAGTGGGCTGTGTTGGGCATGTTGGTGTGTGACTATCATGTCGGTCTTTCATCACCGGTCCACTTAAAGGGGGAAGGACTTATTTTGGCTACACCGTCAAGGATTTCAGAGGCTCCGTTGCTCCCAGGTACATAGTGAAGCAGAACATCACGGCAGAAAGTATGTGTTGGAGCAGAGTGGTCGCCTCATGGCAAAAGGGCATGGTGGAGGGAAGCCGCTCACTTCATGGCAACCAGGAAACAGACAGGGAGGGGCCAAGGACAAGATAGGCCCTTCGGAGTCTCACCCAGTGACCTGCTTCATCCAGTTAGGCCTCGCCTCCTGCATTTCCCTCACCTTCCAACAGTACCATCAGGTTGTGATCTTGTCAGTGGATGCAGTTAGAACCCTCACGATCCCATCACCTTCTGAAAGCCCCACCCCTGTGCATGAGACTTGGGGAAACATTTTATGTATTTTTCTTTTTTGTTACGGGGTCAAACTCGGGACCTTGCGCTTGCAAAACAGGCAGCGAACCACTGAGCTAAATCCCCGGCCTGCGAAACATTTTAGATCAGAGCCATAACTCCTGTAATTCCAGCTACTCAGGAGGTTGAGGAAGAAGGGGCACAAGTTCAAGGCCAGCACAGGCAACTTAGCGAGACCCTGTGTCAAAATAGAGAATAAAGAGGGCTCACCCCTCCCTGGGTTCAGTCCTCTGTATTGGGAAAAAAAATAAAAACAAAGAAGTGGGCCAGTGTGTCCTCAGCCCTGGTCCCGATGACTAGAATCCACCACTGAAAACTTGTGTGATCTTGGGGTGGCCACAGCTTCTCTCTGCTGCCCAGGAATGTGGGCACTGACAGGGAAGGTGGCTGGTGGTGCATGGTACAGGATGGTCATCCCTGCTGCTGCTCCACCTCCTCCTCTTCCCACTTCGCTGCCAGTCTGACCTGACCCCTCTGTCCCAGCCCCTGAACAGATCTGTGAGTCCCTGGTGTCACGGCCTCAGTCCACAACCTCTCTGATGGATGTTTTCCAAGTTGGAATTGACAGGCCACCCTCCTGAGCGATGGTGGAGGACAGTAACCATTTTGCATCTGCGTGACCCTGTCCCACTCTGCCGGGGGCCCCTCGCGTGCCTGGTGCCCAGGGGGTGCTCAATAAGTACTCTTGCTGAATAAGCCTCTTTCTTGTTTGCAGATGGCCTGGGCAGTGGGGACTTGGGCAGCGGGGATTTCCAGATGGGTAAGTTGCTGCGGGCATCCTGCAGATCCTGTTCTGCCCCACGGCAGGTCTCTGAGCCACAGAGGTGAAGGCCTTGAGGGCTCTTTGGTTTGCCTGGGGGTTCGCCAAAAGAAGTGGGAGTGGTCTCTTACCTGCCGAGTTGTAGGATGGCCAGGATCTGTGCCTGCCTTTTTCATAAGCACAAGGCCGGGGGAAGTGGACACAATTAGCTGATTTCTGATGGGGACTGAGGCACCAGTCACCTGGCATCCAGTGTAGCCCGGGTTTCTCCAGGGCTGGGGTCACTTGCCCCAAGTTGGTGGGTCAGGCGCATCCTAACTCCACCAGTGCTGGCCGGAGGTTTGATCCTGGAGTAGTCTGGGCCTGGCCATGACCTCCCAGCACCAGGACTTGGCCTCTGCCTAGGCTTTCCCTTGGGGCAGTCTGTGCAGGGTACAGGGAGCCTGGGAGCCAGGTGAGGCCCACAAGTGGGAGTGTCAGGTAGGTCCTGGGATATTTGTCACCTCCTGTGCTCCCCCTGCCAGCCCCAGTATGACTGCTGAGGCCCAGCTCTGGTCCTCCCTGTCCATTCAGAAGCATCGAGGCCCCTCCTGTGGGCATTTGGGCAGCCATGCCTCTTCCCTCTCTGAATGGTCCTGCTCAGCCCGTCCCTCTTGATAAGCACCTGGGAGGCTGGGGGTGAGGAAAGAAGGGGGCTAGGAACGGTAGCTAGAGGGCCCAAGGCCAGGGCCCCTGCTTTCCTTGTGAGTGGGCTGATCTGTGAGAAGAGGCAGGTCTAGACCTCCAGGCCCAAAGCCTGGCCGGCCAGCTACACTTGAGGCACCTCTGGCCAGCTGGACTGAATCTCAACCGGGAGGCAGCACGTGTGTCTCTCTGATTCCCCGGGGTCCCTGTGCCCACTGCAGGCCCAAGAATGGTACCCTCTGTGCAGTGGCCAAGAGGGGCTGTCCTGACCCTGGTGTGCCGTTCTGAGCTGTGGCCCTGGCCCTCCTCTCCCAGGCGGGGCTGTGCTCCCTGGCTCCCTAACAGTGTGATCTGCTCCCCTCCCTACCACCTCTCCTGCAGAGCTGTTTCTTTTTTTCCGGCCCATTCTTGTTGCTCTGGTTGTACCTCTTTACCTCTCTTTCCTTCTCTCCCCTCTGCCTGTCTCTCTCCTCATTTCTCGCTGCCCTTCGCCTGTGTCTGTTTCGGTGTCTGTGCTTCTCTCCATCCCCCTTGGCATCTCTGTCTCCTCACCTCCTTCCATCACCTCTGCAGGATCAAGACGACCTCAGGTGCCAGGTGGTCAGTGGCCCGGCCCAGGCCAGATGGGAGCATGGCTCCTTCTGCCTCTCTCCAGCTTGTCCTGTGCTGTTCTTTGTCCCTGTCCTCCTCTTTCAGCTGTACTTGGCTGTGAGTCACCCAGGAGACTCTGAGGCACCTCCCTGCCACCTGGGCCAGACCAGCTCCATCTGCCCCTGCCCCATCTGACCTTATAGATCAAAACCGGAGCCGGGGATTTAGCTCAGTGATGCTGCTGCCTGCCTCATAAGCCCGAGGTCCTGAGTTCAATCCCCAGTACCTGTGGCTGGGACCCTGCTGTCCCTCCCCAGGGACTCCTGTTGGGACCCAGAGGAAACAAGGCCTTGGGGGACACCTGAGGACAGGCTGATTCTGGGCCCACCCCAGGACCCAGAGAGATCCTGAGCTGGAGACACTGGGGTGTGTGACAAGTTCTGCTGAGCAGGGACAGGCGTCTGGAGTTGGGCTGGTGGGGGTAGGACGAGTGAGTGTGTCCTGTGCCCTCCCCACTGAAGAGCTGCCCTAGCCTCCGGCCTCAAGTGAGCTCTCCAGGGAGGTCAGGGCTGGGTGGGAGAGAGCCAGCGGGGAAAGCCACTGGAGCCCCCTCAGCTCCACGGTGCTTTCTGGACGCTGCAAACCCCACCTTCTGCCCTGGCCCTCAGGCCCTCTCGGGGCAGCAGTGCAGGTTAGAGACCAGGCACTTGCCCTGACCTGCCCCTGCTCTGGGAGAACTGGAGAGGCTCGGGCTAGGTCTGTGCCCTTCCCAGACCCTACAGAAAAGGGCTTTGTGGTGCTCCAGCCCCCTCCCCCGGGAGCAGGCACATTCCTGGGCAGAGGCCCGGCCTCCTCACCAGCCCTGCCGTGGGCTGAGGCCAGGGGCTGGGGTGGGGGGACTCTCAATGGGCCTCTGTGCTGGCTCACAAGGGGCCTCTGTGGCTGAGCTCATGGCCCCTACACATGCTCCTACACATGCTGCGGCCCACAGAGCCCCACCACTCAGCATCCGAGAGCCCAGCCCTGTCCCTGTGGTTCAGAGCAGGCGTTCACAAGCACCCTCTTTTGGTGCAGGGCTTCACTCCTGGACCCAGACCCACCCCCACAGCTCTCTTAGTCAAAGAGGAAGAGAGAGTCCTGGCTCTGAGGCCTGTGTGCCTCTTGGCCTGGTGGACAGAGAGTAAAGTGAAAGACACTTCCTACTGTGCCACCTATATTGGCCCTCTGTCACTTTTCAGAGCACCCTTCTGCCTCAGGGACTTTGCACTTGCCATTCCTCTGCCAGGACTCTTCTCTAAACACCTCTTGTGGCTGAGCCCCTTCCTACAAACATTCCTTTGAAGAAAGGACTTCCTGGCTACCACCCCCCAGTAGGCCCTCACCCCAGCCCTCCTTGTTTGTTTCTTGTAGTCCCTATATATTCAGATCCTTTGTTTTATTTTTCTTTCTCCTGTCACTAGCACATGATCTCTGTGAGGACAGAAATTTTCATCTGTGGAGCCCAAGGCCCTCAGTGTAGACCTGTGAAGGGAGTGAGTGCTTGCCTCAGATGACAAGAAGTAAAGCCAGGTTCATTCTCAGGTTTCCCCTCACAACCAGAGTTACTAACGGCACTGCTGTTGTCCATATGTCACCTATGAGGACATAGGTTCAGAGAGGTCAGACACTTGCCCAAGATCCCGGCTGTCAGTGGCAGTGCCTCTCTAGTGGCTGTGCTTTTCACCACTGGCTTGCGCTGCCTCCCTGGTCTGTGCCAGGCTGGGTTCCAGCCCTTTGTACCTGGTTAAGGGTCTTTTGCAGCTCAGAGGAACTTGGCATTTATAATGTATACTTGAATTCATGAACATTGTGGGGTTTAATGTGGTAAATACCTTGTACCTAATAGATGTTCAAGAAATGATTGAGAGTGTGTATGTGTACCACAGTCTCCTACACTACAGGTATTTGGTGTGGGTTGATTTAGCTGTCATTTTCCTGGCACCTAGTATGAGCCATTGTATGTCTGCACATGTGTGTACGTACGTGTACATGACTCATGTGCATACATACATTTGACACATTTGCCACACAGTTTAATTCATATTTACCACACATAGGAACTTATGGACGTTGTGCCAGTCAGCTTTTAATCACTTTGACAAAACACCGAGATAATGTAAAAGCAGGAAAGGTTTGTTTGGGCTCCCAGCTCCAGAGGTTTCGATCCATGCTCACTTGACCTAGTTGCCTTGGGCCTGTGGCAGCCCAGCCCATCATGGCGGGAGCACACGGCAGAGACCCGTTCACCTCATGGCAGCGAGGAAGAAAAGGGGAACAAAGGAACGGGGTCCCAGTGACCTCACGTCTCCAACTAGACCCGCATTCCTAACAGGAACCAAGCCTTCAACACACGGCTGTTGTATGATCCACGCAGTCATCAGCAAATGCCATGGCTGTACAACGCCACATAGGGCAGGAACCCACAACATGATAGCTGTTTGGGTGTGCGCACACAGGGTTATGGGGACGTGGCCAGCCGTCACGCCATAGCGTGTGCTGTGTACCCCGGCTCAGAGTGAGCCCTGGCACTCAGGGTGGCTGAGACCCAAGGTCCCCCTCATGGAGCTCGCAGTCTGGGGGTGAGCGAGGAGGACAAAGCACACCCCTGATTCATGGGGTTTGTGTAGCGCCTGGGAACAGGTGTGCGTGTGAGCATGACGTCTCCTGTCCTCACCGCCACCCTGGCTGCTAAATGCAGCTGACACGCCTACGTCGCTGTCACCGAGAAGGAAACAGGTTCAGAGAGGCGGGGTCAGCGCCTGGGGTGCGGCTGAGTCAGCACGTTATCGCTCCTCTGCCACTCTGTGGCCTGTCCATGTCCCTGTGTACCTGGCAGGTCTGTGTGTCCCACCTCCCAGAGGGCCTGGTCTGGCCCAGCCAGGGCAGCTCAGGCATCTCCATGGAGGATCCTGGGGGGATGTGGTGGCATTGGCCAGGGAAGGTTGGGGGCCTGACCTAGTCATACCTGCAGAGTCCCTGTGCCCAGCCAGCCTCTGCAAGCCACCCTTTCTGTCCAGTCTTCCCCTGAGTGTTGGGGCCTTCTGTCCTGCACTGTCACTTAGTTTCTGGGTCAGGCCCTTTTGTTTGTGTGTTAAAGCCCCTCACTCCGATAGGCCTCATTCTGAAGCCCTGGTCAGGCCTGCCGGGCCACCGCACATGTGCCCCTGTAGGCAGCATGGCCCAGCTGCAGGCAATGAGGTCTCAGCCCACATGGGAGGCTTTCTGGGCACCTTACCGTTTCCACCCACTGGTCCAGCTGCCTGAGGCCACCCCGCGCCAGGCTGCTAACATCCCTCCCCTCTTTTCTACAGTGTACTTCCGGGCGCTGGTCAATTTCACACACTCCATTGAGTACAGCCCTCAGCTGGAGGACGCAGGCTCCAGGGAGTTCCGAGCTGTGTCAGAGGCTGTGGTGGACAGGGTACGGTGGAGGGGCTTGGGGAGCACCACGGTGGGGGGGGTCAGGACCGCAGACTGGGGAGGTATCTGGGTGCTGATGTGCCGTGTCCCTCCCCAGCTGGAGTCAGAGTACTTGAAGACCCCTGGAGACCAGGTCGTCAGTGTGGTGTTCATCAAGTGAGAAGGGTCCCTGGGGAGTGGTGAGGGGCTTGGGCTGGCCTGGAGAGGCTGGCAAGGCTAGGGAGGAAGCTTGGGTCTCCAGAAGAAGACAGGAAAGGCCTGATGGGATGGGAAGGGGATCATCTGGGTCTCAAGTGGCCCTGCTCTGGGCACAGGCCGTGCGGAAGCAAGGCCTGAGCACTGGGGCCAGGCCTCACGGAGAAGCTGAGAACACAGGCATCTTTCTGCCCCGCCCTCTGCCCATCCCCGCCCAGGGAGCTGGACGGCTGGGTCTTCGTGGAGCTGGATGTGGGCTCGGAAGGGAATGCAGATGGGGCTCAGATTCAGGAGGTGCTGTACACGGTCGTCTCTGGGGGCTCCATCGGCTCCTACATCACCTCCCCCCAGGGGTTCCAGTTCCGACGCCTGGGCACAGGTGAGCCTATCCTGGACTGGGCCACCTCCTCCCTTTCTAGACTTACGTGCATCTCCCTTCAGTGTCTCCGCCTTGGGCCCTCCTAGCTGGGGCTTGCACACTGCTAGGTTCGGGAGCTCGCAACCTCCTGAGTCTCCCTTTCAAGCTGTATTACCTTGGGTGGAGCACAGAGTGCTTCCTCTAACAAGTGCCCACCAGACCCGGATTTCTCTCTCCCTGTGTGCTTCTGTACATTGCCTGGAGAGTTCCTTTCTTCAGACGGTATGTGTAAGTGCGAAAGACTTGAATTCAGTAATAAGGACCGTGGTTTTGTACTCAGGCTCAGCCCAGGTTCCTTGTCACTGGACCCTGTCCTGTTTCATCCCCTGAGTCTCTACGCCAGTTCCGATTTGCTCTTGCAGGTTTTGGTTCTCACTCTGTCCCATCTCAGTTCCCTCCGTGGAAAGGCTCCATCCACCACATCACCCACACGCCTCTCACTCAGGGGACCCCAAAGCAGAACAAAGTGCACCCCTGCCTTGGTTTAACCCAAACAGGAAAAAAAGATGGACCATCACCCGCCTTGTCCTGCACATAGAACCTCAGTTAATACACCCAGAGCTCCAGCTGTCTCTGTGGCATCCCCAGACCCAGCTCTAAAGATTGCCCGGTGCCCAGCCCTCTTTTCCCACTTTCCAAGGAGTCATCCTGACGGTTGGTGGGGTGGTTGGCTCAGCCCTCGGCTCCCAGGCCCCAGGTAGATGGCTGCTGACCACACGTTCCTTTCCAGCACAGACCCCCCCACCCCCTCCAGCTGCTGTGGGGGTCACAGTGACACCAGGTGAGAACGGAAGCCCAGCCAGGCCCAGTGGGGAGCCAAGAGAATTTAGTGGCTGGAGAGAGAAGACAAAAGCCAGACAGCTGGGCCGCCTTCTGCCCTCCTCCTGTGCCCTTGCTGGCCCGGGCTGTGGCTTGCATGTGTGTGCTGTGGTGGCTGCATGCATGTGGCATGCCCTATGAAAGGGGGGTGAGGCACTGCCACGCATCCCATGCCTGGTGTGTGCTGCGGTTGTGTCCATCAGTGCTCCTCAGCCTCACCATCTGCCACAGTGGCCTGACACCGGCCCTGAGGTCCCCTCACCTCTGTGTGGTCCTTTCCAGCAACCCCACCCTATGCCTCTGACTCCCTCCTCTCCCACAGTGCCCCAGTTCCCAAGGGTCTGCACTGAGACTGAGTTTGCCTGCCACAGCCACAATGAGTGTGTGGCCCTGGAGTACCGCTGTGACCGGCGGCCCGACTGCAGGGACATGTCTGATGAGCTGGACTGCGGTGAGGGGCTGTCTGGGGGTACGGGTGGCCTGTGAGTGCCAGGGGCCTATGCCTGGGTCTCGTAGTCAGTCTGCAGGCCAAGGGGTCTGAGGGCGGGAATTTGCATGGGAAGGAGTTGACAGAGTCAGGGCTGGGGGAGCTGCATGCAGTAGGGAGTAGATTTGAGGGGTACAGGGAGGGTCAGGCGACAGCAGGGCTAAGGGGTAAGAAGTCCCCTCCTAAGCATCCAGGCACTTTGTCCACAGAGGAGCCAGTCCCGGAGGTCGTTTCTATGCCATCTGTGGTACAAGAGATGTCGCCTTTAACACCCCGGTCACCAGAGGCAACCACCACACGGCGGCCACCGGATACCCTCCGTCCCCAGCCTCTGCTCCCCGATCTAGCCAGACCCATGCTCTGTGGGCCCCATGAGGCTGCATGCCATAGCGGGCCCTGCATCCCCAAAGACTACCTCTGCGACGGGCAGGAAGACTGCAAGGATGGCAGTGACGAGCTGGACTGCGGTGAGCCACAGGCGGGGTTTGCGGGAGCCTGGTTGGAGCGCTGGCCCAGGGGGCCGCTGCTGAGGCTGCTTCGTCCCACAGGGCCACCCCCACCCTGTGAGCCCAACGAGTTCCCCTGTGGGAATGGGCACTGTGCGCTCAAGCTGTGGCGCTGTGACGGTGACTTTGACTGCGAGGACCGCACCGATGAGACCAACTGCCGTGAGTGTCCCTCAGTGCCCCTTGTGTGCCTGGCCCGGGCCATTTGCTCCCCATTCCCCCTAGACAGGTATTGGCCTTCCTAGCTGAGCCGGGAGGCCCTGGACATAAAAGTCAAGGTTCGTCTCTAATCTGGGCAGGTGGTACACACCTGTGATCCCAGCTGCTTGGGAAGCTGAGAAAGGATTGCAAATTCAAGCCCAGCCTGGGTTACCTAACAGGACCCTGTTCCAAAATTTTAAAAGGGGCTGGGGACATAGCTCAGTGGTAGAGTGCTTGCCTAGTATGTGTGAGTCCCTGGGTTCTGTACCTAGCACTGCAAAAGAATAAAATAAAAGTTTCATCTCTGACCAGATCTATAAGGCTTTAGGCCCCAAGCGGCAGGTAGGCTGTGCCTGGTTTATGCTCTCCTGCTCTGCTGTGTTTTTGTGACCATTGGTATTTTTGTTGTTGTTGTTGCCGTGGGGAGGCAGGGCATCAAATGGATGACTGAGAGCGTGATACACTGGGCCCCTTGATGCTGGGGTCCTGGTGTACATGTGAGTGAAAGCCCTACCATGTGGGCTGTGTGAGTCCATTTTCCTGCTGTGAAGAATACCCAAGCCTGGGCACTTGGTAAGCAATAGAGGTTTATTTGGCCAACAGTTCTGGAGGCTGGGCAGTTCAAGATCCAGGGACTGTATCTGGTGAGGGCCTTCTTGCTTTTTCCTAACATTGGCAAGAGAGAATGAGGGAGAGGGCCAATGCATCTCCTTTATCCGGAACCCACTCCTCTGATGGCTGCAGGTGTCACCTCTCAACCCTGTTGCATTGGGAATCATTTCCAACATGTGAACACTTAAAACAGCCTGAGCCTAGGCTTTTCATCTAAAGCTGGTTCTGAGTCATTTGTTCTTCATCTACCCAGATCTTCATCCATCTGTCAGTCCATCTGATCATCTTTTCAACCATCCCACTCATTCAGCCAGCCATGCGTCTGTCCGTTCATCTGTCCATCCACCCACTCGTCCTTCCTTTTCTACCTACCTCTTCATCCACCCGTCTATCCAACGTCCTTCTTCCCATCCATTCTACCATCCATCCATCCACTGCCTGTGTCTCTCTTCTCTGTCCATCCACCCGCCAAACACGCTTCCTGCCACACATCTTTCCACCCAGCCCCCTATTCATTGTGCCGCATCCATCTTGTCACTGTCTTAGACAGCACTGACATCACGACAGTTCAATAGATGAGGGCGGCTGGAGGGTCAGAGCGCACCAGGTGGCACCTTGCGTATCCTGTCCTGGGAGGTAAGCCTGTGCTCGTCAGTCTGAGGCTGAAGATAATCTGTGGCCCTGGGCCATGTGTCTAGTATGCGCCCACATTGCTGCTGTCAGCTTGCCTGGCTTTTCCTGCCTTCCACTTCCTTCCCTGTCCTACAGCAGTCAATGGTAGAAGCAGCCCTGTGCCATTCTTTGGCAGAGTCTCATGACGCCTCCTGGGGCTCTAAGCCCCTTGGAAGGAGGTTGTAATGGAGGGTTTTGACTGAAAAGCCCCTCTGTGAGGCTTCTGCTAGGGAAGAGCCAAGGAAAGTCACGTGCTTGTTGACAGAGCACAATATGAAGAGCAGGTGAAGCTGAGTGGCCTTGGGGGCCCTTCAGAAGGTTGGTCCGAGTGTGTCATAGATGGCAGCCTCCTTGGCTCCTGTCCAGATTCATGGATTCCACTCCTGCACTGTGCCTTCCTCACCCTCTGTCTCCCATGCTCAGTCTCCCTGACGAAGAATGTGGGTCACCACCTACTAGAGATGCCTAGCAGGGGCACGCCTGTGGCAGGCCAGCCCGTTGATGAGTGGCTGCTCCGGGTCAGGTGCCACACCTGGGCCACTGAGTAGGGGTACAGAGCATAGAGCCCACAGAAGGGCCCACCACAACAGATCCCTTGCAAGGCCCGTCCAATATGGAGGACAATACGGGTTACCTAATGGCCACAGACACCAGCTCCTCTGGCTCTGCCTTGACAGGACTCTTGTCCATTCAAGATGTCACTTCTCGGGTCAGGGATTTAGCTTAGTGGTTCTGCCGCCTGCCTTGCAAGCGCAAGGACCCAAGTTCGATTCCCGGTACCAAAAAAATAAAAAGTCACTTCTCTGACTCTGAAGGTGGCTGATGATGTGAGCAACCGTGTGTTAGTCTTTTTCATTACTATACTGAAATCCCCAAAGCAGGCCAACTGTATAAAGAAGGGGAGTTTATTTAGCTCACAATTTGAAGGCTGAAAGCCCAAACAGCATAGAGCAGGCACTGGTGAAACTGTCCCTTGGCTGTGCCACCTCATGGCAAATGGCAGTGATGGGAAGAGTAGGAGGAAGAGGTCACATCTAAAACAGGAAGTTGGAGGGCTGGGGATTTAGCCCAGTGGTTCTGCCGCCTGCCTTGTAAGCACAAGGGCCCGAGTTCGATCCCCAGTACCAATAAATAAATAAAATAAAACAGGAAGTCAGGGCCAGAGATTTAGCTCTGTGGTTCCACTGCCTGCCTCAAAAGTGCAAGGACCCAAGCTCAATCCCCAGTTACAAAAAAACAACAACAACCAAAAAAAAAAAAAAAACCACAAAAAAAGCAGGAAGTCAGGGGAAGCTGTGTCCCTCTTAAGGACGAGGCTTAGTGACCTAAGGATCCACTACTAGACCTCATTTCTTAAAAGTTCCTACCCCTTCCACATCATTGCAGTGGGGCCAGACTTCCACCACATGACCCTTTGGGGATAAGCAACCTGCAGGCCACAACTACAAAGGGCTGCTGTGCCTATGGCCGTGATGTGTCAGGTTTTGGGGTGATGGGAGTAAGCAGTAGGTAGGGGTGAGGTAATGTGAGGAGCTGTTTCACAGTAGACTCATGGCTGTGCTCTGCTGGGTGCTACGGTGTGGCAGCTGTGTCAGGGCCGGGTGAGGTGGGTGAGATTGTGGTGGTCCTGGGGCCAGTAGGGAATGGGGTGGCCATCCTTGCGGACGGTGTCCTCTTGCCCACACCACCTGGCTCTATCCCCCAGCTGCCAAGCAACCTGGTGAGGTGTGTGCGCCCACGCAGTTCCGGTGCATCTCCACCAACACGTGCATCCCGGCCAGCTTCCACTGTGACGAGGAGAGTGACTGTCCCGACCGCAGCGACGAGTTTGGCTGCAGTGAGCAGGGGGCTAGGGGCAGATGGGCCCAGTCCCTTGGGGCCCTTCCTCCCCACCTGGTCCCCTAGACCCCTCACTCCTGATCCTGTCTCTACAGTGCCTCCCCAGGTGGTGACCCCTCCCCAAGAGACCATCCAGGCCTCCCGAGGCCAGACGGTGACCTTCACCTGCGTGGCCATTGGCGTCCCCACCCCCATCATCAACTGGAGACTCAACTGGGGCCACATCCCCTCTCACCCCAGGTACGCCCAGTCCGAGTGGGGGAGGCGCTTCCAGGCCAGCAGAGCCTTGGCCAACGGCCCAGGCGTGACCCACCACTGTCTCTGGGTCCCCCAGGGTGACCATGACTAGTGAGGGTGGCCGTGGCACGCTGACCATCCACGACGTGAAAGAGGCGGACCAGGGCGCCTACACGTGCGAGGCCATGAACGCCCGCGGCATGGTGTTTGGCATTCCTGATGGTGTTCTGGAGCTCATCCCGCAGCGAGGTACGGCACCAGCCTGAGGAACCATCGTGCGCGGGGCGAAGCAGGGCCGCCTGCCTGTGCCCTGCCCCAGCCCTGCTCTGCCGCCCTGCAGGCCCCTGCCCCGACGGGCATTTCTACCTGGAGCCCAGCGCCTCGTGCCTGCCCTGCTTCTGCTTTGGCGTCACCAACGTGTGTCAGAGCAGCCGCCGCTTCCGGGACCAGATCCAGCTGCGCTTTGACCAGCCTGGTGACTTCAAGGGTGCGTGGGGGGCCCATGGGAGGTCGGGGGACACCTAGAGAGAGGACAGCGTGTGCCTCCCAGAGCAAGACCAGGGTGGGAGGGTCACGGGGTTGCCAGGCAAACACTGAGCCCGGGAAGAAGAGCATTTCGGGAGAAACCAAAGCTTAAGAAAAAAACCAGATCTACCTTCGCACTTCTCTGCTTTGGTCCGTGAAGAGGAGGGGCTCTTAGGCCGCACTCCTGGCTCACAGCCCGATTCTGACTCTTACTGACTGGGTTCCCTTGTCCCGCTACAGCCTCGTGGCTCTGTTGGTCTGTAAATGAAAGGGCAAGCCTGATGTGGTAGCCCGTGCCTGCGAGCCCCGTTGTTCAGGCGGCAGAGGCAGGAAGATCTCAAGTTTAAGGCCAGCTGGGTAACTCAGTGAGTCCCCATCTCAGATGAAATAAAACTGGAGTGCAGTGATGCACACTCCTCGTTTCTGGGAAAGACCTAATGGATGGAGGTGTGTGAGCGAGTCAGTGATCTGGGCCACAGAAAGCATGCAATATTAGCTGATGTTGTCATGTGCGTCCTCGCCTCCCCGTTCTGATGGGCTGAGGGAGCCAGTGTCCCCAGAGTGCGAGGGTCCAGGCTCTGGCATCTCGTCAGCACAGGCTGCCCTTCTCACTGCCTGTGTAACACTGGCCCGGCCCTTTGGCTTCTCTGGGCCACTTTCTCAAATATAAAGATGACCAGTGGCGCATACCTGCAATCCCAGTATTCTGGGAGGCTGAGGCAGGAGAATTTCAAGTTTGAGACCAACCTGGGCAACTTAATGATTTAGTGATAACCCTATGTCTAAATGAAGCATAAAAAGGGCTAGAGATGTAGCTCGATGCAAAGGCCCTGGGTTCCACCACCGGGGAAAAAAACATCAGATGGACTTGGTCCTTGGGCTTGTCCGGCCCTGACAGGCAGAATGTCAGGGTGACTAAGAGAAGCCAGATGTCAGTTGGACCTGGAATCAAGTCCCAGTCCTGTCGTGTGCCAGCTGACACTGGGCAGCCCTTTCTCTTGGTGAGGACCTCATTTCCTTCCTGAATCTCTGAGGGTCAATGCAGGCTGATGGATTGGCTCTTACAAAGCAGCCCTCAACAGTACCTGCCTGTTATGCCCTTTCGGGAGTAAGGAATCAGGGTCTTGTACAAGATGAGTGTTATGGCTGTAATCCCAGCGCTCAGGAGTCTGAGGCAGGAAGAGTGCTATGAGTTTGAGACCAGCCTGGGCTACATAGCAAGGCCCTGGAGAGAGGTGGGGTGGGGAGAGAGGGAGAGAAAGAAGAGTGGTACTAAATCTTAGTTGCCTTTCAGTGCCTCCCAGAATACTGGAATATTAATGACCACCATTTGCTGGCTATGCAGCTGGGACTGTGGCCAGATGTGGACATCACTGGGTGGCCAGTGACCCCTGCAAGTTCAGGGCTGTTTCAGCTTCCACATGGGAAGCCCGAGTGCTGGGAGGCTGCGGGCACCACTGGGATCAAAGGCCAGTTAGAACCCGGGCTGTTTGGCTGGAATCTAGATGGTGGCAGGTTATGTGGATGGTGAGCAGGACGGAGGGCCTGGAGGGCCCAGAAGAGAAGGAGAAGGCAGGCTGGGTCCCTGGGGCCCAGCCTTGGGGTTATATGTGGTCATTCTCAGGTAAGGGGTCAAGGGGAGACTGGGGAGGTAGCTACGGGCTCAGCATAAGGGAGAACTTTTCTTTGGGTACTGGGGATCAAACTCAGGGCCTTACTCTTGTGAGGTGGGCGCAGCGCCATTGAGCTAAATCCCCGGCCCTAAGGAAGAACCTTTTAAGAATCAGAACTGTCCCATGCTTTGGAGGTAATGAGCTGCCCATCTGGTGTGGAGTCTCTAGCCACAGTGTACCATGTGGAAGACATGGATGTGGGGATTTCCGTCACCACAGAGTTCCAGGGGGTGATGCTTCCAGAGGCCGGGGCTGCTGTCAAGGGAGTCCCCGAGTTAGGTGGCTGTGTGCACATGCGCCTGTGTGTAGGTGAGGGCTCGACCAGCAGACCCGTCCTAACAGTGGCAATGAGAAGGGTCAGTCACCTTTTGAGCACCTTTTTGGGGATGTCCTGTGTTTTAATCATTTTAAATACATTTGCTCATTTTATCTCCCTAACACCTGTATATAGCCAGGACTGGGGCTTTGGGTCTTCAGCCCTCTAAAGCTCTCTGCTGCCCCCATTGGGCTGTCCACAAGCCTGGCAGTCCAGGGATCTCTGAGCAAAAAGCTCTGAGAAGTCCTGCTGCAGAGAATCTCCCTGATCTTCCTTTGACCTTGTGGTTCCCAAAATGGCTCCCAGCTGTCATTCTACAGCATTGACTTCCCCAGCACTGCTTTGGGACGTGCTGCTCCAAAACATCAGGAGGAGAGAAAGACTGGGAGAGCTCATCCACATTCAGAATCCCTGCTATTTGGGAGGCTGAGACAGGAGGATCACCAGTTAGGGGTCAGCCCGGGCAAGTTAATGAAACCCTATTCAGAATTAAAAGGGCTGAGGACCTAGGTCAGTGGTGTAGAACTGAGCAAAACACTAGGCTCTACTTTGGAAGAAAGACCAGTTTTCCGAGTCAGATTTCCCGCAAAACTGTGTCCCGCCTTTCTGGGTCCCTCCCCACCAGTCAGCTCTCTGCCCTCACAGCCCCTCTGCCCCACAGGCGTGAACGTGACGTCACCCTCGCAGCCCGGCACGCCGCCCCTCGCCTCCACGCAGCTGCAGGTAGACACCGCCCTGCAGGAGTTCCAGCTGGTCGACCTCTCACGCCGCTTTCTCACCCACGACTCTTTCTGGGCTCTGCCAGAGCTGTTTCTGGGCAATAAGGTGAGGGCCAGCTCCGCCTGGACTGAGGCTTCCTCCACGCCCAGAAGCCCCCTGGGCTCCGCTTCCCCTGACGCTGGTGGCAGAGTGAAGGAGGAGCTGAGGACACAGCTGCTCATGGAGGCGGGTGGACTGGGGCATCCCTGTCCCTGCGCTGCCCGGCCCTAACCCGCCCCTTCTTGGCCAGGTGGACTCCTACGGCGGCTCCCTGCGCTACAGCGTGCGCTAC